CCCGCTGTACTCAGATAACAACACTTTCCTTACTCACCACTTTGCTTCTCCTCTGCTTCCGTAAAATCTCAATTCCAATGTCGCCTCCCTGAGGAAGCCTGTCGTAACCTTCCAGATTAGGATGGGCTTCCTTTGTGTGAGATCATGTACTGCTTCTTTGTAGCAATTAGTGATGTGGAGATTCTTCTCTGCCCTCTGGATGGAGGGCCTCCTTGGGGAGGATGAATCTATGAAAAGAGTTTGCTTTCTTCACCGACACAGACTTGGTTCTTAGGTTTCAAGTCATGACCATCTGTAGGAGGTCGTAAAGCTGTTCATGACAGGGGACAGTGCCAGCTCTTGTTGTTTATGGTACGAAACACTGTTTTTACACAGATATGGGAAGTCTCTCTAGTATGGCCTATAAACAGATCTTTAGGGTTTCAAAGTTCAGTGTTCCATCTGCAGAGATCACTCTTGTGTGAGAAAGGTGGGGTGGGAACGTCTGTGTTTTAAGGGTTTCAAAGAAAAGGCCGTGGTGGATCCTTGAGAAGAAACATAGGTATTTTTGGGGGGTCTCTAATGGACAGCTACCTGCTCTATCTTGGTTCCAGCATTTTTGGGTATCTCACCCTTTGGAGGATGGGCTTATATGAACGCGAAAGCACAGGGCACTAAGAACAGCCATCCTGGGGACAAAGTGAGGTCCTCACTCAGGGGCTCTAGCTCCCTGTTGCAGTTGTTGCCTTGGGGAGGCCTTATCACAGTCTTGACTGGAAGCCTCTGGAGGGTCACCATCCAATCAGGACATGGTGGAGTTGCCAGGAGAAATACATCAGGTACCAAGGATTTAGCCTCTTCAACATAGAGTGACTTCTTTTTTGAACAATAAAGGACACTGCAGGTTTTGTAACTTAGGGAGGGGGCAAAGGGACCCGTGGCAGTGTTACTGACTTCCTTTTAATCTCATCTACAGAGCCAGGGTTGGCCGATTTATCATGAAGATTTGGCCACAGTGTACTCCTGTGTCATGGCATGCTCTGTACTTATCAGTCAAAATGTACATTTAAGGACTAATGCAAAGGATTAAGATCACATTTATAACTTATGTGTAAGCACATTGGTTTACAGTGCTTGAGAAATCGTGAAGGGTTCTTGAATTCTCCAATGAATTCAATGTGCAGTGGAGTAGAGAGTCTGAGAAATGGAGTTTCTTTCTTGGCAGGGCGGTGGGGTGGGAGATGGAATGAAAGTTGAATTGATAGATCGAAGGGGTAGAATACAATCTGTAGACTTTTAGCCACTTTCTGTTTTGACACTGTTCTAAAGTGAATTGCCTTCCTTCATGCTGTTTCTAAATCATGGCGGGGACTCCCTCAAATGCTGCCTTGAGAAGGATTCCAAAGTCACAAATGGCATTATTGAGAAAGATGAAATAATCCATGCTGACTTCAAAAGTAGCACTTGTGCATTTAGCTGATTTTTTCTTCTTTCTCCCTACTGGGGAGGTGGGGGTGGGGTTTGGTATAGATGTTTCTCAACACTGTGGCATTTCTGCCAACAGCAAGCATGACTGAGACAGGATTATATGCAGAAATGGCACATGGCAGCTGTGGCATGGGGAGCTGAGCTGGAAACACTCACTTGCAGGCATTTCCAGTCTACTCCCATCTCTTTCCTACTTGTTTGTTTTTGGACTTGCAGTCAGAGAACTGAGCAGGGCTGTGCTCTAAGAGCAGGGAGCTTTTGGACAGCTCAAGCAGCTGCCCCAGGGCAAGGGCAACCGAGGACAGTGTGAAGGATTGTGGAGGAGTGTGACCTGTAGTGAACCAGGGACACCGCAAAGCATCTCAACGTTGTCCCGCTCCCCGAGCATGTCAACAGTGTTGATCACTGCACATGGCCTTACCTTAACTGGGGAGAATCCCTGAGGCATTTATCTGAATTTCTTGCTACCAGAGACTAGCCGGGACACTTGAGTGTCCTTCAAGGCTTGCTGAGTCCCCTTGCCTATTTCAGAAGCATCTGAGCTGAGGTCCATTGGACACTGAGTAGATGAAGCGAGTCTGAGGGAGACCTGTCAGATATGAATGAACTGATCAGATCAGAGGAGAATCACAGTTTCTTTAGGCCCCCATCCCCATGCCTGTGGATCCATAGAACACTCAGAGGATGGCTTGGGTTGAGCTCAACATCGGATTGTAGACCAGTGGAGGAACAGGGACATTGGTATGACCTCCTACTCTTCTACCTTCCACCCCATCACTGCCCCCCAACTGTTCCCCTTTCTGCATAGCCTCCAACTTTGGGTACAGTCTTGCTCTGGCAAATTTGTTACCAGAGAAGGGATACTGACTTCAGGAAGTGAAAAAGAGGAGGAAAAGGACTGCTATCTCTGAACTTTGCTAGAGGAGTGTTTGTGATTTTCCTCCTTCCAAAATGACAGCTTTGCCTCGGTCAGTCGGCCATCAGTGGGGATGTTTTCATTCTTGAAAAGAAGGCCACGAGAAATTTTTAAAATGTGCAAATTCAAACAATGGATATCATGAGCAAATGGGTAGAAGTTTTAGAACGGTTGTACCTGGTACAGAGAAAGAACATATCAAAGATGGTGGCTGAAAGGAGATCCTTCCATGTCAGACAAGCAGACAAACAGAGTCCCGTTGTCCCTGCTAAGGAGGCAGGTGGCTTTTGTTAAACTTCTTACCTTCCTTCATGAGGCTGGTTTGTGAATTCTTTTTTTTTTTAACGTTTATTTATTTTTGAGACAGAGACAGAGCATGAACGGGGGAGGGTCAGAGAGAGGGAGACACAGAATCGGAAACAGGCTCCAGGCTCTGAGCTGTCAGCACAGAGCCCTACGCGGGGCTCAAACTCACAGACCGCGAGATCATGACCTGAGCTGAAGTCAGCCGCTTAATCGACTGAGTCACACAGGTGCCCCGGTTTGTGAATTCTTTAAATGGAGGCAGTGTTACCGTGCAGAACACATGAGATAACATGGTTGAGTGCTTAGTCTATTGCCAGGTGTGGTGGGCAGTGTGAGCCATAGACAATTTCTTTTTTTTTTTTTTTAATTTTTTTTTTCAACGTTTTTTATTTATTTTTCTTGGGACAGAGAGAAACAGAGCATGAACGGGGGAGGGGCAGAGAGAGAGGGAGACACAGCATCGGAAACAGGCTCCAGGCTCCGAGCCATCAGCCCAGAGCCTGACGCGGGGCTCGAACTCACGGACTGCGAGATTGTGACCTGGCTGAAGTCGGACGCTTAACCGACTGCGCCACCCAGGCGCCCCATCTTGATGGATATCAAGGCCTTACCCTTTGACCCATTAACTAACTTCTGGAGATCTAGCTCAAAGAGGAGGAAACATCTAAACAATGACAACAAATGATTAGTGCAAGAATATGCTCATAGCGGCATGGTTGATGAGCAGACCCTCAGAAATATGCTATTGGTATTAGTGTTTGGAGACTGCTGCTTGCCTTCAGAAATGTAAGAATATCATTAATGGGCCTGGCTGGGATCTAGGGATGTTTTCCTGGACTATGGGGATTTGGGAGTTGAATGATTCACCTGCTCTGGTACTGGGGGCTGCCCCAGGTATCTAACCTCCCTATCTGGCCACCTTAGTGGAAAGGTGAACTCAGGCGGTCAATTAAGGCAGGGCATTCCCCCCACTTTTGGAAATCGCTGTCTTTTTTTGTGTGTGAGTGCCTGTAAGAGTGTCTTTAGAAGGCTGAACCTAGCATCATGCAAAGACAGACCATTCACGGCCTTGAAAGGATTTGCAGGAAACATGATGTGTCCATGACTATTTAGATGAGAATATTGTGTTATGCTACCTGAATAAGCCTGCTGCTTTGTTGTGGAGATTAGTTTGGAGTTTAAAAGAGACAAATGGTAGGGATAGAAACTAAGATGTGCTTGGCTGCTGGGTTTGCAATACAAATTCCAAATGGCTTTTATAACATAACACCTATTCACAATTTATAAGGTATCCCAGGCTCTCTCTTTATTGACCTAGCAGAAGTGACTCTGGAACATTTTTTTTATTTTCCTGTAACTGCCTGATGTAAACGCATCCTCTAATCATCCTCCAATAAACATGGACCAGTTTTCCCTCACTTAGGCAAAGGATAATCTTCTTCTGCGTCTTCCTGGTTCTAGTCTATGCACACTTAATATTCCCCACCTCTAGTCTTCCCACCGCCCCCCCCCCCCGCCCCGCAACCCATGCTGCTGAAAATCTTCATAGCTTGAAATCAGATGGCTGTCACTTTATTTTTTCTAAACGTGAATGATAACTTAGCAAACATAAACTCTACCTGTTTATCTTTCTGGTCTGACCTCTTCCATGGCCCCTGGCCCTCCCTGCCCCATATTATGTTCAGAAATGACAAGTTCCCTGTAATCCCCAGGTATGCCATTTTGCTATTATATCCAAACCTTCCCACACAATGTGCCATTTATTTGCTGAAAAGCCTGGCGGGGCACACTCACTTCTCTCCTTCCCCCGCTTCCTTCCAGGAAAGCATCACCTCCCTCGTGAAACCTTTGCTTGTATAGTTATTTCTTCTACCAGGCCCCCCCCACCGGGACCTTTCGTGTCCTTCTTTTAGCACATCCACATTGTAACAAACTTGTTTCATGTGTATCTCTCTAAACTTTGTCCCCTGCTTGGCCCATGGTTGACTTGTGGTACATATTTATTCAGTGGATGAGTGTAATTACTTTCCTGTCTGATTCCTTAGAAAATGTTGATGCTTACCCCTTTACCCCCCACCCCAGCTGGGGTCTTTGATGGCCTTCTTGAAGATAACACTCCAGAAAACAGGAGTGGGGATAGTCTCGCAGGTACATCTGAACAAAGCCGACGTATTTCTTTCCCTTTAAGATCTTGCAGCTGAATGTGGAATGATCCTGAAATTAAGGTCAGCACCAGGTGGTTGTTTATATCAGCTGTCAGATTGCAGAATAAAAAATGGCTTTTATATGTTTGATTTTTATTGTTTTCCAGGGCAATGTCACTTTTTCCTGCTCCGAACCACAAATTGTTCCCATCACATTTGTCAACTCCAGCAGCAGTTATTTGCTGCTGCCCGGCACCCCCCAAATTGATGGGCTCTCAGTGAGTTTCCAGTTTCGAACATGGAACAAGGATGGTCTGCTTCTGTCCACAGAGCTGTCTGAGGGCTCGGGGACCCTGCTGCTGAGCCTGGAGGGTGGAACCGTGAGACTCGTGATTCAGAAAATGACAGAACGCACAGCTGAGATCCTCACAGGTACGGTGTGCTGACAGCCACTAGCTCGGTTTCTGGTTTGGCCAAGTTGACAGATGTTTGAGATTCTGACTAAAACATATAGAATCCAGCTCGGGGATGTGGGATGACCCAGTATTCACAGATTTACTCTAAGTATGAAGAGGCAACATTTTTAAAAAATATTTTTAAGTTTTTGAAGGTTTATTTATCTTTGAGAGAGAGAGCTAGACAGACACAGAGACAGAGAGACAGAGAAGCAGACAAAGGCAGAGAGAGAGGGAGTCACAGGATCCGAAGCAGGCTCCAGGCTCCGAGCTGTCAGCACAGAGTCTGATGCTAAGCTCAAACTCATGAACTGTGAGATCAAGACCTGAGCTGAAGTTCTATGCTTAACAGACTGAGCCACCCAGGTGCCCTGAAGAGGCAACATTTTTAACTTTTTTTTTCCTAAACAAAACAAAACACCACTGAATTCAGATGTATCTATTGAACCTTTGAAAAGTCTCTTAATTCCCTTGTTCCTTGTCAGACTGGTTCCAGTCGTGGGAATAAGAATTTCTATCTAAATATGACATAATATAGACCATTTACGGAGCACTTTGCTGGGTCTGGACAGACCTGGCATCTATTATATAGAATCTCCATCATGCCTGTTCAAGGAAGGTATTTTATAGGTACTTTGTAGAGGAGGAAACGAAAAGTCACAGAAGCTAAGGAACTTTCAAAATCACATGTTAATAAATGACGGAGTTACAATTTCATCCTGAATCTGTCTGACTTCGACGGCTGCAGTTTCATTGTATACCACACATATGACCACGGACCTTTTACAGCCATCAAATTTTATTTCAAGTAAAAATTAGCGAGTTTTAAGAAAAAAGTTTTTAACATAGTATTTTTAAGATGTTATGTGAATACTGATACATCATCTAGGTTCAGCAAAAAAAAAAAAAAATTAAGTTTATTTTATTTATTTATTTATTTAGGGGGAGGTGCAGAGAGAGAGAGAGAGAGAGAGAGAGAGAGAGAGAATTCCAAGCAGGCTCCATGCTGTCAGTGCAGAGCCCTATGTGGGGCTTGATCTTTTGAACTATAAGATCATGAACTATAAGATGATGACCTGAGCCAGTACCAAAAGTCAGACATTTAACTGACTGAGCCACACAGGAGCCCCATAGGTATGGCCATATTGTTTTAAATGGTCCTCGAATTGCTGAAGTTTGGAAAGTACATATTTGGTAATATAATATAGATTCTAATATGTAGCAGTATGGAATAGATTTATGGATAAGTCATGTTTTTCCAAACTCTGACTCTTTCATTTGCTGTTTCTGCAACATGGAATGGTAGAACTTTCTCCATGTTTCTCTGTTTGTCATCTTACTGTCTCCTGTCTTTCCAGAAGCAGTACTTATAGCTTACTACGGTTAGACCACATGCCACACATTATATTAGGGGCCAAGGCCAGTTCCTAGGTCAACACATCATTTGAAAAGCCTCCCTGCTTTACAGTCTGCATCAAACACCCCTCCTCTGTGCATTCTGAGCCAATATCCATCCTGGATTACACTCTATTGCATTTTTCTTTAAATGTCTTTCTTTTCCCACTGGACTGTGAGTTTTGTTCTCCAAATAAATTAGAAAAAATTGACTTAAATAGTAAAGGACATGCCTTAATACCTAAGATCAGGTCAGACTGCGGGAGAACCTCATATGCCAATAAGTGAACAAAAAAATCCATTGAACCCCTGGAACAATGGGAGAGCCTGGGTCTGGAACTTAGACTCAAAAGGTACTGCCTTTCCTTACTGTTCTGTGTCCCTGAATACACTTGGCTTTGTCTCACTTGTCAGTGAGAGTGTATTAGTTATCTATGGTTGTGTAACAAACTGGACCCAAAGGTAGTGGTTGAAAATGTTAATTGTGTGCTAATTTATAAGAGTTGGGAATCCAGGGGCACCTTGGCTGGACAATTCTGGCTGCAACCAAGTTGTTGGCAGGGGCCACCTTCATCTTCAACTTCAACTCTGAGTAAGTCTGCTTCCAAGCTAATGCATACAGCTGTTGGCAGGCCTCAGAAGATCCATTTCCAAGCTTATCCCCTGGCCTCTCCAGAAGGCTGCCTCATGAAATGATAACACTCTGACCCCACAGTGAGTGATTCAAGAAAAAGAAAGAACTCACGAGACAAAAGCTATTGTTTTTTTATAACCTAACCCTGGGAGTGGTGTTCCTTCACTGTTACATGCTCTTTTCAGTAGAAACAAGTAAATAAGTCTGGGCCTTGCCCGAGCCAAGGGGATTATACAAAGCTGTGGATATTAAGAGTTGGGGATCACTGGGGACCATGTGTCCCACAGTAGGACCCCTACTGACTCAAGACCTATCGCTAGAAGGGACCTCACCGCATAGTCGTAAAAGCGGAGCCAATTTGTGCAATCACAGGAAATACTTTCATAAAATTTATAAAATTTCCAGTAATGGAGGTGAGTTAATCACTTAGAAACAGTATTTTTCATGTTCAGAGTTACAGAAGTTCAACTGCAACCCTCTTTATTTGAAGAAGAAAAATGTGAGCTGGTGCTAGGCTGTTTCTCTCTCTAATCGGTGAGATGTTCGAGTACAGAGACTTGTAGGCCTGAGGTCAATAACGCAGTTTTAATATAGTTTAGGCCCTGGCGGCACTGTGCTCTACAGCAGCCAGGTGCTGCCTGTGTTATTAAGCACATGTCAGTCCATTAAAACACGTTTATGACCGAGAGAGGCTGCTGAAAGCTGTCACGTTACCCAGCTTCAGAAAGGGGGCAAAATCATCCATTATTTCAGACCTGTCTCTCAAAAAATGAAATGAGGGGCACCTGGGTGGCTCAGTCGGTTAAGCGTCCGACTTCAGCTCAGGTCACGATCTCACGGTCCGTGAGTTCGAGCCCCGCGTCGGGCTCTGGGCTGATGGCTCAGAGCCTGGAGCCTGCTTCCGATTCTGTGTCTCCCTCTCTCTCTGCCCCTCCCCTGTTCATGCTCTGTCTCTCTCTGTCTCAAAAATAAATAAACGTTAAAAAATAATTTAAAAAAAATGAAATGAATAAAAAGAAGTTTGAAAAATGTGCTGACTGGGTTCCTGAAGTCTGGCTCGGAAAACTCTTGCTTTATTCTTTCCCCACGAAGAGTTTCTGAATTTTGGAAAACTGGAACTTCATTCATTTTGAATTTGAAATGGAGTTAGGCTTGGTGTCTGCTGGACTTTTTCTACCTCATCGGGGGCAGGGGGCGTCAGGCAAAACAAAAACAACCAACAAACAAAAAGTCCAACAAAGCTAGTTTTCCCGTTCCTTCCATTTCTCAGGAAACTTATTTTCAAAGTCCTTGAGATCATAGTGGCTTTCCAAGGGATGACAGCCCCAAATGAGAAATCAGAAAGTGATGATCATTGTCCCAGTAAGGTTGGAGGCTCTCTGGGGCCACCTTGACACATGGTACCTCCTGGGAAACAGAAACAAAGCCACTTTGGGTTAGTGGGACAGGGAATCCAGATACTTAACAATTAATTTGAGACTAGGTCAGGTGTTTCTACCATCTAAAAGAGAAGGTAACCCCCGTGGAAACAGACATGCAGAGATGTCTGGAGCATTCACTTCTGTTTCCAGAGCTTCATACAGGATGTGTGTGGCCTTTTGTTGAGGACATCCTTTCATTGTGAGTGATGTGGTTGTAGAATCAACAATCATTGTAGATGCCTTACAAGTCAGGCGTCGCTCCTGGGCCTTGTCATATGCCGCAGGACAAAACACACCCCTGAAAACTTATGAAGTGGTTATTATTTTACCAAAATGGGTAGGAAGTGGGGCGCCTGGGTGGCGCAGTCGGTTAAGCGTCCGACTTCAGCCAGGTCACGATCTCGCGGTCCGTGGGTTCGAGCCCCGCGTCAGGCTCTGGGCTGATGGCTCGGAGCCTGGAGCCTGTTTCCGATTCTGTGTCTCCCTCTCTCTGCCCCTCTCCCGTTCATGCTCTGTCTCTCTCTGTCCCAAAAATAAATTAAAAAACGTTGAAAAAAAAAATTTCAAAATGGGTAGGAAGAAACTGGGAACCAAAAAAAAATAAGTGCAAGTGACGAAGATGGTGTTTAACATCAGGTCTTTCCTTAGGATTCCCAAGTTTATGGTCTTTTTACGGGAACTTGCTGCCATCCATATTCATTTTATATTATCAGATGTTTAAGTAATTCAAATGTAAAACTCTACTTTAGATGAAAGATCTGTAGACAAATGTTCAATAGGCTGTTATGGTAAATAGCTATTTAGTATTTAAAGTTAAGCATTTTATTTGGTCGCCCTATTATTGGCAGATTCCTGGTTAGATGAGATTGACACAAGATAATGAGTCCATCCTCTTTAAGACTTCTTACGTTTTATGGGGCACCTGGGTGGCTCAGTTGGTTAAGTGGGTGACTTCGGCTCAGGTTATGATCTCACAGTTCATGGGTTCAAGCCCCACAATGGTGTCTGTGCTGGCAGCTCAGAGCCTGGAGCCTGCTTTGGATTCTGTGTCTCCCTCTCTCTCTGCCCTCCCCCACTTGCACTCTATGTCTCTCTCTCTCTCAAAAATAAACATTAAAAAAAGACGACTTGTATTTTAGCTATGTTTGCCCATATAATATTGTAATAGTGTAAAACAAATAATCCACATCTACATATCAACACACACATACTTCCCAGTATTCATTATGTATACACGGCATAAATGCTTAGTGCTGATTCCTTAGTAAGACTAAGGGTAGTAAGCAGCAAGAGGTATTAATTAGAGTCTGTCTTCTCCCCAAGGCTTTACCCTCTATTGTATAGCTTTTCCCATTCTGGTCACCTCTGTGCTCCAAACCCCACATGGAAGTCTTGGGGCTGCATTGATCCCTACCTTCAAGGGTTCCTGCTGCACAGTGAGACTTGCCATTTCTCCTTTCAGGAATCACAAGAGATATACAGGCAAATATTAAATAAATGGACACCTGGAGTTTCTACTTTGTTCAT